GATCCTGTATGAGAAGCTACTGTGCATTCCCATGGATAAACTCTCCAGCACCTGCGAGAATAGACCAAGGCACCTGAAAACTCAATCTGGTCTAATACAGAAAGCTATAGAACTGAAGAAAGCGTTACAAATCGATGATAAACCAAAAAGCCTCTCTCTCCCCATGAACCCATTAGCAGACATTGATGTAGTGTGTTGCACCCAACTGCTTGACTTCTTCAGGAAATCAAACACCCCTCCAGATCAAATGCGCTCATTGGCCCTTGAAACAGACAATGTCAACTATCCTGGAGATCAATGGCTCCAAGTCTTCACTGATGGGTCTTACATAGAAAACCAAGCAAACGTTGGTTCAAGTGTCTATTCCGAATTCTCCTCTTTCTACGCAGCAGTGGGACATAATAGATCCGCTTTCGAAGAAGAAATAGAGGACATTTGGATACCACTATGCCAATTATGTTGCCTGGATGCGAAATTCATCAAAGCGGTGATATCTTCGGACTCACAATCAGCAATAAACTCAATTGGAAACAGAGAGCCACCCAAAACAGCTGAGATAAAGGAATGTAGAAAACTCTATCAGCTGCTGAGAGAGAAAAACAAAACAGTGGTCCTACAATGGATTCCTGGACACTGTGGTATTAAAGGCAATGAGCTTGCTGACGTACTTGTTAAGAAGGGGACAACGACTTTGCAAGGCATAGATGGGCCGAAATGAGAAAACAATAATTTTGGAATTAACGGAAAAAAATATCAAAAATATCAAGAGACTCGTCGAAATTGAAGAGATTTCTGTTTGAGAATGCCCTATATATATTTTTTTGCAAGTATTTTTGATATATATTAAGATATCTAAATATAAACGAATAAATAGAAATAAAAATGTTTATATATATGTCAATGCCTATTGTGATTTCCTGCAAAATTCCCTTTACAATCGAAAGCATGCAATTTTGTAAGTTGTGGGACACGTTATCGCTCTGTGCCTGCATATCTGCTCGCCAGGATTGGGAGGTGCGGCCGCACAACTCTGTGTGCAGCGACCGTGCAAACAGTGACCAATCATCAACCTCTGTTTAACCTAATCCCATGTGTGCAAACAGTGACCAATCATCAACCTCTGTTTAACCTAATCCCACATCCTGATCATGAGTAGATAGCTATCTGTTTGTTTAACCTAATCCCCCATCCTGATCATGAGTAGCTCCCTGCGTGTACACTTGATCAGCAATATTTATTTCAAATGGCAGGTGTTTTAATAGCTATCATTAGCCATTTAGCTGACTTCAGACTTCACAGAGGGAAGGTTCATCAAAGTAGAAAGTCGAGGGGTGGGGAATAGAAGAGCGATTTGCAGATGTAAAAGAGGCAGACAGACACAAAGGTAGAGAGAAAGGTAAGATGAATACTGTGAAAGGGGTTGAATGTGACAAGCCGTCGGGCCATGGTAGTTTGAAATGATAAGTCAACTGCCGGTTAATAGACTTTTTTGCCGTATGAGTACACGTTGATAAGGGTGCACCATGTGAAGGTAAGTCTATCGCACACCCCAGGAGGTAAATA